ATCTCACTGTCTAAGTCATTGATGAAAACATTAAACAGCACCGGTCCCAGTACGGATCCCTGAGGGACACGACTCATCACCAGTCTCCATCTGGACTTCGAGCCATTGACCACTACCCTCTGGATGCGACCATCCAGCCAGTTCCTTATCCACCGAACAGTCCACCCATCAAATCCATAGCTCTCCAATTTAGAGAGAAGGATGTTGTGGGGGACCGTGTCAAAGGCTTTGCAGAAGTCTAGATAGATGATGTCCATTGGTTTTCCTTTGTCCACTGTTGCTGTCACACCATCATAGAAAGTCACTAGGTTTGTCAGGCAGGGCTTGCCCTTGGTGAAGCCATGCTGGCTATCTCAAATTATCTCCCTGGCCTCCATGTGCTTTAGCATAACTTCTAGGAGGATCTGTTCCATGATCTTCCCAGGCACAGAGGTGAGGCTGACAGGTCAGTAGTTCCCGGGGTCTTCCTTTCTACCCTTCTTGAAAATGGGCACAATATTTCCCTTTTTCTAGTCACCAGGGACTTCACCTGACTGCCATGACTTTTCAAATATCATGGAAAGAGGCTTGGCGACTACATCGGCCAATTCCCTCAGGACTCTGGGATGCATCTCATCAGGTCCCATGGACTTATGTGCGTTCAGGTTCCTCAGGTGGTCACGAAAATCTAAAGCTAGAATCTGCATTTAGCAAATATGCCTGATAATTCCCTAGCATTCCTACATAGTAGGCCAAAGTCCCTTGCCTGATCCATAATATAAGTGTAATTTTTCATCACAATGGGTTATTTTCCACAGTTTCATTGAAGAAATATTCTTTCTCTAAACACTTCAATTTTTCATTTAGGGAGTGGTGCTGCCTGCACACAGTTTCACAGAAAATGCCTAGGAGAGATAGGGTACTGGCTCCAGACCAAATATATCTAGACAAGAGATTTAGTTTGATCAAAACCCATCTGATCTGATTCCTTTCAGATCTAATTCGGCCAAAGTGAGAACAGACACGTACGTATGTGCAGTGCTGCTTCTGCAATCTTCTGATTTCTGAAAAAGCTGCCTTGTCCACTGTAGATCTACAGGACTTTAGAGCAAGAACGACCTGTGACTGGTTGCATTAAATGCATCTTTAACTGAACATTAGTGTGTGCACCCAGCGGGACAGTCACTGTTCTGCAGCCACAGTATTGTACACAGCAACAGTCGCCCATGTTTGCAGACATCATCCCTGATATTAATCTTTAGGAAAGTATTTCTATGGGTTGTATGTATGTATTTGTCTTCTTAGAGACATATTTCTTTTTTTTTTTTTTTTCCCAGAATCCTGCATCTGTCAGTGAAAGTCCCTACCTGATGCAACATGGAAAGACAATTTTCATGGCACGGTCCTCAATCTTCAGCCTTTAATCTTAAATAGCCTAGAAGGCCTTCAGCAACAGCATCACCATGCCAGGAATATCAGTGTCAATACTTAGGTGGCACTGATTATGTGCCTTTTAAGGTATTACAGTAGCAAGCCTTGGATTGCTTGAAGAGTTGTATCAACAGCACAGTTATCAATTCCTGAAAATTACTTGAGTAATGTCTCTCTGACCAGTTGAGTATCCTGCTTCAACCATTAAGTAGTAACAAGTACTTTGCAAGCTGGCTTTGACACAGCTGAGGGACACAATTACAATCGGTGTGGTGCTTTAGCAGGCCTCGGGGTAGGCGGAGAATGGAATCCTCCATCTGAGCAATTGCAGCTCCAGTGCTGCTGGAAAGCAATGGAAACAGCCTCAGAGGTATGGAACTGGAATTTCAGTAATGTGATCTAGAAGCAAACAGAGCAGACTGGTAAAAGCCCTTGCCTTTAGTGTCAGAATCAAACCAGTTGTTTACTCCTGGAAACAGAATTGTGAATTTCTTGCGAGATTTTCATTATGGTGCTTCTTTCATAGGAGCATGTTGTAGTTCTTACCCCAAATCCAGCATGTCATGGATCTGCCTATGCTATATATCTCATTTCTAACTTATTTTCCTATGTTAGTTGTATTCTAAATCCAGGTTAGTCTTTTTTTACTTAATTCAGAGCTGTAGAGCTGGTGCTAGCAGACCAGTTTAGAAATGTCTGCATCGTAAATTTACAGAACAATAATCTGTCTTTCAGTGGTTTAATCTTCATTCCTAATGCCAAGATGGGCATTAGGACAGAGTCTTTTCTATTTTTCATAATAATACTAATGATAAACTAATTTCCTTTGACTGAAAATACGGTCTTTAATCTCCTTTAATACCCTGTTGTTTGTGGGTCTTGTAACAACAGCAATCAATCAGCACAAAGCTGATTGCAACCACTGTTTCAATTTTATGGTGTAGTTGCAGTAACCTGATCCAAAATCAATGAAATGCACCAAACTTTTTAAAGTACTTTAAACTGACCAATCAAATTTCTGAATCAGAAAAATGAAATTGGCAGTTTTGCTAACGTATGGCTGCTGGTTTGATCTGGGAGAGTGTGGGCATGTGTCTCTGATCAGACTGATCATTGATATTCTGTTTTCATTCTTTACTTAAATTCATACAGTATTACACTACAAAATTTTAGGAATATATTCAGGTAGTGAGGAATATATTGAGATAGTATTTCAGTTCCTCAAGCCTGGTGTGTGAAAATTCAGCTGCCTTACACTGTATAGCATGGCAGTCACAACACCTTGTTAGAATCAATGAGTTAAGCCAGTTCAGATTACAGTACTTTTTAAGAGCATAAAGAAGGCTTTTGTATATTCATCCAAAGTTCTTCTGCAATGTTGCTTGTAGTCTAAGCAGTCATTCATCCTGCCATTAATCCTCCTTTCCTTTGCTCATTTCATAAGTGATACACTTTTCGTCATCCTCTGAAGGAGATGGTCATACTCCTTCCCTTTCCCATCAATGTTAGATCAGCCTGTGTCCTAAAGAGCATTTTCAAATTACCTTTCAGTTTGCATTTCTCATCTGTGAAGTCTTTCAGGACTGAAAATTCCAGGACCTGTCAGGATTCATTTACTTATTTCTGCATGGATAAGGCAACATTCATAGTCAAATTCAGTTTCATCATATCAGACAAGCCTTGCAGAGTCACCATGCAGAGTTCCCTCTATACATTGGTCAAGTTTTATAGAAGTAACAGTGACAGAGCATTAGTGAATCCTGCAAAACCTAGTTGTTGTGTGCATACTTCTCAAGACTTCACCCAGCTCTTCTTGTCTTCATTTTTCGCATGTGCTCAGCATCTGGAGTGTGGGAAAAACATAAATTTGTTTTCAGATTTTCTGGGGGAAAGGGATATTGGCAGAAGCACACATGGATATGGGCTATTTGGGCTTCCATCACAGTGCTACAAATTTCTGTGCTCATTTTGCTTACCTGCCTCCTCATGGGAGATGAATATTCTTTATACAGACTGGGGGCTCAAAAAGAACTTGAAATAATTGTTCAGTAACTGTAGGAACGCCCCTCTTGTTGATGGGAGGGATTTTTTTACACTAATGCCTTCTAGTTTCCTCCCCTTTCCCTTTTTAAATATTGACAAATTTTAGCTTTCTTGCAGGCAACTGAAACATGGCTATGTTTCCAAACTTGGTGCAAGTCAACATAAACATTCCATGATGTTTCTCAGCCAGCTTTTTCAGATGTGTCCTGCTCAGGGTCACTGATTTAAACATGGCAGACTCTAGCTCAGTAGCTACTACTTAACAATCTTTATGTCAGTGCTGAAATGGAAATTATTTCATTATTGTGGTGTGATACAAATAACATTGAGCTTTTTTCCCCCAGACAAATGCAGCACAAAAGTAGTTAGTGAACAACTATACTTCATTTCAGGTTTATTGATACTTCTACCATCTTCAGTTAGTAATGATCCAATACCATTGTCAGCATTACTTTTTTATTTATATACTTTCAAACTCTTTCTTACTGTTCTTAATGCTACAAGCCATTGATGTCCCCTTATGTGCATTTGCTCTTTTCATCAATTTTTTGCACATTTTTACTTCTTACTGTCAATTTCTTTGTTTTTCCATGTTATAGCTGCTTTTAATTTCCCACAAAGTGGATGTTGTCTTTTTAATGACTGTTGTCTTCCTTCTCAATTGTGAGATATTCTAGGAACAAAAATGTTCTTAAACCTCCTTAATCCTCTTGACACTTTCTTCAGAAGTTGCATTAGTTATTAATTTTTGTAGCCTTGTGAGATAAGCCTGTGTAAAGGATAATATATATATTACATATTTACACATCTTAACACAAATTAGTATTACATATTCACATGCAGTTTGGATATTGTTTTGTTTGTGATGTGTGAATATAATCAAGTCACTAGCTGCTCAGAAATCACCAATATTTAGTGGTTTTACAAAAATTGAGGTTGCTAAGCACATTTTTTCATTAGCAGGGTCATAAGGAAGAAGTAAAGCTAAAATTAGAACCCCTTTTTCCCTTCTCTTTCTTAATCTATTAGTTCATGCTACCTAATTACAGGTCAGACATAACAGAAATTAAGCTTTTACAAACAAATTAGTAGAACGGTGCATGTTATTTTATTTTGTCATATTGTCATTCAGCTGTTGTGAGAATACACCCAAAGGTTGTCACAAGTATTTTGCTAAATCTAGCAGTGGTTTACAGCTCTTTTCTTTTCATGTCCTCAGACTTCTGTGAGCAGAGGAGGGGTTGTTTTATTTGTTTGATTTACATGGTCTGGATCCAGAAAACTTGACCTAGCTTCCACACAATAGAAGTTTATATATGGAGTATTTCCACCTTGAAGCAGTGGATTTGTTTTGGTTTTCATCAGATTTTAATAACTTATGCAGGTGTAATTCCTATGAAACCTGTTCCAGTGAGTGAAATTGCAGTCATCCATATATACCCTTCATAAATTATTTTTTTTGGGGTGGGAAATGCTGAAGTCTTTTGTTCAAGGAAAATTGTGGCATCATACTCTTGTTTGCTTTATTGGTTTAAGGATGCAGAATTTGTAGAAAACCTACCCCTGATAATGCAGAGCTTGGAAGATTTTCATCTGGGCTATAATGGAATTACTAACATGGCCCAGCTACAGTTTGGCAGGTTAAAAAACTTGAAAATTCTGTTTTTGCAGAGTAGGTGGTAGCAGCTTTTCTGTGCATTCATTCAAGCATGTTCCATTACTTCCCTTATGTCTGGTTTTCACTCTGTGCCTTGAATTTGTGGGGGACAGTCTTCTCTGGTCTTGACCACAATAAGAATGATATCCTAGCTTTAATTCATACCCTGGCTCCAAGATCCTTAGATATTGAACAGTGAAATTCTTCCCCACTGTTCCTCACTTGTCTTTTACAAGACAAGGGCAGAGCAGGGTAACCAGCATGTGGAAGATATATTTGTCAGCTCATGGCCAGCAGCAAGTTCCACACTGAGGAAATGTCCTCCTCACTATAAGCAATACCGACAACAATGACTGACCCAAGTCTTGTTCCTCAAGATGCCCAGATTTTATTTAGGAAGGTATTTTGCTTTAAATAGAGATGGCAGATAGATAGATGAAATCCAACACACTCCAGTGTCACTGAAGTGGTCCAAAACAACATAAAAGTAATTGAGAAAGTTCATGAGCTGCTTTTGCTTAAGATAATGTTTTGCTGCAAAGGAATCCCAATCCATTGAAGATGATTCCATGCATTTACTCTTGCTATATCAGGGAACTACATCAGCCAAACTGAAGGACTTGAAGGTCTCCAGTTTCTGCAGGAGTTGCTATTGGACCATAACCGCATTAAAATGATTTCACAAGGTTTCCTTGCTAGTCAGAATGGTCTTTTCACTCTTCACCTGGAGGAAAACCAAATACAAGTACTGAACAGTTTACAAGCTGTGGTAAAATTACAGAAATTCTTTCTGGACTTCAACAGAATTCAAGTACAGTATATTTTTGTTAATGCTGTACATTCAGTGGGCTAAATGTGGTGGACTGTTTTCAGACAAAATTCCCATTTTCTTCTATGGATTTGCCTTAGTAAAATTACCAGTATTTTCCCCAAAATATATAAACCAATTGCAAGATTTTTGAGAAATCCTGACATATGGTGTATTTTCTAACTTTTGGACAGGAATCATCTGAACCAGAAAAACTTCAAGTTATTCCCAGTCTTAAGGTGCTCTCAAAACACGGAAATCCAGTGAGTATATTCGCTTGCATTGTTAAATAAATTAGATGTGTATTTCACTTTATACACTGAGTATTTACTCTTCATAATCATTAAAACTATTAAGAAATTATCCCTAACCAGGTCATTCCTAAGTATCTGCTATTATTGTTTTAAGGCTAAAAGCTTCATAGCACACATGATGATCACCTTGCCTCGCTGTGCCTGTCTCAGTGCCATACTGCGATCAGAAGGCACTCGTTCTTCAGCCTACTGTTCTTCACAGTGCTGCAAGATAAATGTAAAATGTATGTGTTTGCATGAGTATGTTACAGTGATGGGCTGTCCTTTCAATATTCCAAAGCAGGTCAGGTCTGTGAAGAAAGGTCAAAGAATGTTAAAGGATTTCTGAAATACTTGCTTTTATTTTTAAAATGGCTCAATAGCAATCTTTTTTGGTTTTTTGCACATCACTCGTAAAGTCCCAAAGGGAAATTTCAGGTTTCTTATTTTCCAGACATGCTTCTGTTTTTCAAGGTACTACTGTTGGTTTGCCTTTTTTATCCCTGGGAACAAACTATAAGAACACAGCAAAGAAGACTCCAGCCTTCCTGATTTTATGACTACATCGCTGTGGGACAGAAGACAGCTAACGCTTTCACACAGAAGAAAAGGCTTGCCCGGTAACCCTAAAAGGACAAGTGGAACTTGGTGGGGCCAAGTGTTTGAATAAAGTTTGTAGGATCTCAGCTTCATGTATTTAAGTATCTTAGCACTGCTGAGCTTTAAAGTAGCATCAAATATAAATGGAAACAAAAATATATTTTATATTGCTATTTTTGAGAAAAAAAATGTGGCTTTCTAAATTTCAGTTGAAAATATAGTTCATATGGCATGTTTTTATAAATAGGTCCTTGAAGATTAGGTGGAGAGCCCAAGATCTAAATACCCCTTAACTTCCTTTTCCATAAATCTGCAGTGTCTGGTCTAAAGCAACAGCTAGAAACAGGGAAGTGAGACGGCAGGGGCATGCTGGAGCAGCAGTACATATGGTGCAGTCATGCACTCTGTTTTCAGTGGTTGACTCAAAAGAATATTTTTGCTGCCATGATGTTTTTTAAACCAACTTGCAAATGGTGATACAGATTTGGAAATGAACTGGCTTCTGAAGTGGGTGATGAAATGGCAGGAGAACGTCAAGCAAACTGAATGTTAGTAATGGCAAGAACAGTCATGTTCTTTGCAAGGGAAAAAGCCAAACAGATTCCTCTTGGGAAACTGCTGTTTCAGGGTTTCCTTCTGTAGAATTGCAGGCCTAGACTTTCTCCTGAAGGGGATCAAGGTGGTGGGCTCAGCTGTCTCCTATACAATGTCGCATTAAGAAGTACATCTCACAGTGCATTAGGAAGCATCAGTTTGTACCTGCCACTATGGTCCGCACTTCAGATAACTTATCGCCTGTCATTGTCAATAACATTGTATATTAAAATAGAAAAATATTGCTAGCCTTTTCTGTCTGCAGTGCAGCCTGCAGCTCAGCACTTGGCCTTCTGCAAGGCTGTTTTGTAGTCACATCTCTGCAGGGCACACAGTGCATTTGAATCCTCATATGTGCTGAGGGCCATGAGAAGCTGCCGTGGTCCAGTCTAACTTGATGAGGAAGGTATAAATTTGCCCACAGCATGCCACTTTGTCAGTACAAAGGGTCAGTTACTCATGGACACTTAAAGTTGAAAAACCTTGCTTAAAGGTATATAGTCATTTATGTACAGTTTGGATTCTGTTTCTGGGAGAGTAGCATTGGTGTAAGGTTTGGTTCAGACATTTACTGGTGTAGCTGAGGTACTATCAGATTGAATTCTTGGACAAGGACCCCATTTCTGGGTTAATTCGTATTTTCTTTGCACAAGGTTCTCTCAAGAAGAACTACTGTTCATTGCTTTTGTTTTGACTCACCAGTAAATGCAGAAGAGAGGATGAGAGCTGACTACCAGCCCTGGAACATTGCCATCATACTGTCTTCTCTTGAAAGAAACTATCTTGTCCCATATGTCTCCATTGGAAATACTTTAAGACGGATAATATTCTTCATGTATTGCTTTTTCCATAAACCTGTTGCTTTGTGTTAGCTTTCACTGTTCCTCCTCACCAAAGTACTTGTCTCTATCACTGTGGTTCAGTCTTGTCTATCCTCATGCTTCTTGTTGAGTGTGAGGTCATCTCCTAATGCCTTGAGATGCAATTGCATACCATGAGCTGACCACTGTTGCTGGTCATCAGCACCCCTTTTTCACTGCCATATTTCTACCTTTGCTGCTCATGTCCAGGGCCTCCTTTGTTGTTTTTCTCCAGAGCTTGCCCTGAAATTCTCACTGACTATGAAACCAAAAGAAAGCTTCACAACAGTTGGGCATCTGCTGTGACCATTGTCTGTCGCACTGACCAATTTCATTGCTCATTATTTTCTTGTGCTCACCCATCTGTCAGTCTGTCTGCATTCATTGGGCGTGCCTCATCTCATTTTACAGTATAAATTCACTGGAACAGAGATTTTTAGTAGGATTCACTGTTAGGTATCCCAAATACAGGAATAACAATAATAACCACAAGGAACCAGAGAGGAGGCTAGCCCAGCACGTCTCCTACGAACAGAAGGTTCATTGTCTCTGTGGTTCTGTTTATCACTAAGACCCCGCTCACTGAAAGAGTTTGTTGTCCCACAGCAGACCTGTGTTTTCTGTATCACAGCATGAAACTTCTCTGGAGATTTGTTTGATGAACGGAATTCTTTCTTTCCAGCTGAAAAGACTGCAGTATGCATTTTAACCATCGATTTCCCCAGAAGGATCAATAGAGTAATGAGGAGATCTAGAGTCTGTTCCCACTTTGTGTTGTGCAAGCCAGTTCTCCCTTCATCTCTCAGTTTCATCTTGATGAAGCACACAAACAGTTCTTTTACACATCTAAAAGAGAAGTACTAAGGATGATGAGAAGCATCAGTACAATCGGTTTTATCCTTCCATCCTCATCGCCCTGCCCAGCTTTTCCTCAACCTCTTTGCTTTATAGATAAGAAGTGCTACCAGTAGACACCTACACCACGAGGTTATTCTACGCCAATGGTCTCCTTGAATTTTTTACTGTCATGATGCGGTCACCATGCTCAACCACATCTAAGCTGTTGCTGATCTGCAAATAACTACTTGTGCACTGTATCTAACCACTTTGCTGTTATCTTATGCTTCCCACACCTATGAGTTATGACCGTACTGTATCCTATACATTTCTTGGCATAAATATTTTATTGTATAAATAAAGCCCTTTAGCAGGATATTAGCTTCTAGGCACTACCAGAATAAACGCTATTATTTGATACTGATACTAATGGTATCTTCACTGTTTTGCCAAATCTCAGTCTTCGCATTGAAAGGTCACTGCCGAAACCAAACAGGTTAAAATCCACGTACACTTGGGTTCTGTCTCAGAACTTCATCTGTCAAAAATGTGTTGTCACAGATCCCTGCCTGGCTACGTTAATATCTCTGTTTGCAGACTCAGGACCTTAGTAAGTTGGTGAAACACATTTTCCCACTTGAAGCCACAATGCTTGTATACAGAGTTCAAAGCACTTTTGGATTGAGCGATTTCATGTGTAAATGTTTTATTTCAAAACTGACCTGTGCTTTTACTCATTGGACATCACTTAAATAAAAACATGGCAGAATGAGTAAAGCAATAGAAGCATGTTAAGACTGTATCTTTAGAGAAATCTCTGTTTTATATTCAGGTTCAGTGAAGATGTTATACCTCGTTAGCTACAACAGAACTGAGCCATTTTCTCATTAGATCATTCAAGTGGAACAACACAAAAGATTTTTCAAGTTTGTCAGTTGCATTTTAGTTGTGCTTTTTAAAGTGCTTGTTAGAAAGCAAGAATTGAAACCGTATGGTGGTGTTTAAGCTTAAAAAGTGCTTTTGATCTTGAGCTTCAAAAGAGATTTTCCCAGCAGAAAGTAGGCTAGCGCTTTATTTAGTCAGTAGGCACCAGAACACTCTGTACATAATAATATTTTCTTTTTTCATGCCACTGATTAAATCTCTTTTAATGTTGTCACTGCTGAATTAGAGATGATTTACAGGAGGCAATCACTGTTGTCATCGCACTATACCCAGTTTTAACAAAATTAACAAATCAGCACAGACTGGCACATGGCCTTAAATCAGTTGCTACAAGAAGTGGTGGTCACAAAGTGAGACTTATGAACTACTAAGTATTTTAAAATATTCTTCCAAATCCTTCCAAAGCTGAATTTTTGTCAGCCCTGTGCTAGCCATCCCCTGTAATGGGTTTATACTTAAAAACATTGTTTTCTATCTTTCCCAGTAAAAAACAGCTTCAGTGCATTGCAGTAGCTTTGTTCTTGAAGCAGTTACAATTTTGTTTCAAGCATTTGGGTTTTGTAGCTACTCCTGCTTTCTAATGTACACAACTTGCATAGCTTCTGTGTTTGACAGCTGATCCAGAAAGTGCAGGAGTCAAATCTTAAGCTCACAGCAGTAATTTGAAGAACTGATCCCTCAGTTCTTTACTCATAAAAAGTTGATCATTCCTGTTTCTATTACTGCAAAACCAAGAAGGCATTTATATCATAAAGACCAAGATATGTAATCTTCATTTTTGTTTTTCCTTTCCTTATTTTGTGTTTTCCAGTTGCAAATTTTCCAGAGGACTCTGGATTTCCTGCACTGCCAGCAAACTTTACAAGACATAATCCTCTCAGAATAACACCTGGGAATCTGAATGAAAACATTAACCGTTTATTTGGCTCTGATCTTATATTTGGTCATGAACTTGAAGAGCCTCTACTGAATAAGTCAAATGAAAGTAAGCACAAACAAATGGGATTACATATTCCTGAATACTTAACATAGTTATACTCCCTCATGCTATGTATTATATGGCCATGTAAAGCATTTTAACAAGGGCAGTTTTATCTTTCCTGGCTATCTTGCATGCCTGTAAGTTTCTCACAACCTTCCCAGAGCTGGGAAATACATGTGGTTTCTGGAGGAATATATATCTCTGCCAGTTCTTCACCCTAGGATGGATCTTCAGATTCAGTCTGAATCAGTGATAGAATTAGCCTTTCCGAGCATTCTTAAGCTTTGCGCTGTGTTTTGGGTTTTTTTAATTTATTGACCAATTTCAGTCTGTAAATTAAAGTTTTAACTATGCTAGGAACTGAAAGGAAGCAATGTAACGTTGTTCTGGTGAGGAAAACCAAGAAGAAAAGAAGAATGAGTGCAGTACTTGATGATTGGCAGCTGGGGTGAGGCTGTGCAGGGAGAATATCCATGTGCATTTTGTGTTACAGATAAGCCTAAGGACCCAGGAATTACAACAAATAATCTTTGAAGCATCCATGCAGAAAGAGCTCTTAGGCAAGCCAAAGGAGCAGCGACTAATCTTCTAAACCATTTGGTGCATCATCATAGTGCTACTTCGTGAGTCAGCCACTGCATCAGGGCAACAGAGAACATGCAGGCAGGTGAGGCGCCTACCAGTCCTAAACATCTTTACCTCAGTTTCCAGATTCACCGAAAATGCATTTACTCTCTTTCTTCTGATAAAACTTGCAATGCACCTAAGAAATCATCTAGACCACAATTTAAAATTTTGCAATTAGAACAATGACTACACTATAAAATGGATCCAGCTGAAATAAGCTGGTATTTCCCAAATCCATGCTTAATCCTGTTCTATCACTAACTCAAGACTTTCTGGCTTGTTTGCTTGTTTGTTTTCTATTACGTGAAGTCTAGTTTTGTTTAGTAATTAAAATGTTAAGTATGAAGCAGAAATGCAAGGGTAAACCTGTTACTGTGGCTAAATATATCTAATAATTGTGATACAAACAGCAGTATCTTGCTATTACTGACTGCCAGCAGCTGGAACAAGCCAGTGTGTGACTGAATGTTACCAACATTTCTTATTCTATCAAATGTTTCTCCACAACAAGGACGTGAACAAACAGGTTCGGCACAAGGACTTTCACATTTCCATCTTGATTACTAATATTTACTACCTAAAGAGATTTCCTCACTACCTAAAGAGATTTCCTCAAAATCAGTTGTGTAAGTCAGCGAGGTGATTCTTTGTGGAATCAGTATGTGTAGTTGCTTTTCACATAAGATTAGTCCCAAACAAGCATTTTTCTTAGGTATATTTCATATATTATTATAGCTATACACTATGGTATAAGCTATGCTATGGTTTTCCCTTGCCATAAACATGTGTTTAAAAGCTGTAGACCATATTTGCCAATGAAAAAGAGAGCGTTAATTAAGGGCTTGTTCCCCAAGATGTTTTTCCACAACCATCTTCAACTGGTATTTAGATATGCACAGAGGTCCAAAGGAACATATATTTTTGGTGACTAATATCACCAAACTTCCTGAGAGGAAACACTTTAAATAAACCTTATTTAAACCAGATAGCCCCGTGCTGACTCCGATGTTACAGATGAGAAAGCAGTGGTGAAGGGGAGTGGCATTACTCAGCACGACTGATCTATACAGAACTAAATTCCCCATCGCCTCTATCTAAATTGGCTTCTTCACAGGATTGGATTCTACCTTACCTGCATACTGTCCGAGATTCCTTTTACAGGCACTTCTCTATTATTTAAAAAGTTGTTTTTTCCTGACTTTTTCCCCATATTATAGGTTGATCCTTTACAACAAATGGAGACCATGTATTTTAAATAATGTAGAAGAGATGCTGTAGCCAGCATCCTCTATCAGTAGCTATGTTTGATTTTCCTCACATGCCACATGTGTTCTTTGATCTCTTCCCATTTCTCTCAGCTTGTTGTAACATTAGAAAACTATGCATAGTGTCTGGGTAGTTCCAATTTAATCTTAATTTTTATGAAATCCAACAGGCTAAAATTAGAAGAACACAGCAACGGCACCCAGATAGTGAAAAAAATGTTTGCCTCTGATTAAGCAACACTAGCCACATCATCCCAGATGAGATGAAGTGATGTTTTAGGACAAATCAGGTCTTTTTTTTTAACCTTTCCCCTCATGGCATCACTTCAGGCAGAATTAAAGCTATTCAGGTGTCTTAACAGCATAATTCATACCTTACTGTGGTTAAGCTCTTTGCAGTATTATCTTCCCTAAATTTCTTAACTTTGTATATTTGTAGCATCTCTTAGTGTTTTACAGTTAAATTACTGATATTTACTTGTTAATTTCTCTTTTAATTTGATTTTTTTCAATAATGATAAATTCTGCACACAACCCTAAAGTAAAAGTGCAACAAGAATGCTGCTACATGATACTTTTTAATATTTATGTTTACAGGTTCTGTCTTTAATCAGTACTAACTTTTGAACTTCAGAGTCACTGATACATCAAAGCAGGAAGACTGCAGTAATCATTTAAGCTGAGTTTATAGCTGCTTCACATCGCCGGAAAAGTGCAAAGCTATGAACCCATGCATCTCTTCCTTTTTGGAGAAAAGGAGGCTGAGGGGAGACCTTATCGCCCTCTACGACTACCCGAAAGGAGGCTGTAGTGAGGTGGGTGTTGGTCTCTTCTCCCTGGTAACAGGCGATAGGATGAGGGGAAATGGCCTGAAGTTGCACCAGGGCAGGTTTAGGTTGGACATTAGGAAAAATTTTTTCAGTGAAAGGGCTGTCAGGCTCTGGAACGGGCTGCCCAGGGAAATGGTCGAGTCCTCATCCCTGGAGGTATTTAAAAGCTGAGCAGATGAGGTGCTTAGGGACATGGTTTAGTGGTGGGATGGCAGGGTTAGGGGAACGGTTGGACTTGATGATCTTAAAGGGCTTTTCCAACCTAAACTATTCTATGATTCTATGATAATCTGTGGTTAAACAGTTTGTATGGTAATGTAAATTCAACCTTGACTGTGTATCCATCTAAGCAGGAAAATACTAGTCTCCTGAGTTCAAAAAGTTTTAAAGTTTTAAGGTTCCTTCAGGTCTTTTAACAACACTCTTTTGATGCCCAAAGTCAGCCCGCTGTCCTCTGCTCCATTGGTACTCAAGGCACCACCCAGCTATGACATCTCTTAGACCAGCTGACATTCATTTACCAGTTCTGTGCTAGCGAGCCACTGCAGCCCACGGAATTGCTGCAGGAAAATTGGCAGTGGAGGCCACGGGGGGAGTGGTGGGTGGATGCATATGAAGACAGTTACCCTTTGGAGTTATCTGAATTTTTGTCCTATGTTTGTGTGTGACCTAGCTATAACACTTGTGTACCATTTTTATTAGTAACTTAAATTTACCGCCAACCACGTAATTCAAGTGCAGTCTATGTATAACGTGTTTATTTCCCTTGAAAGTTTAAAGCACATCTATTTTGCCTTTGTTATCATCAGGAAGAGAAACAACCCATGCAGAAAGGCAAAGCTCTTAAAATATACACTTCCACCTCATTTTATTTCAAAAAGTAACAAATGGACTTGCTTAAATTTTCCTATTCTGAAGAGCTGGTAATGCCCTGCTTAATGTACACTGGCACGTGCTGTTTAATGTGCAAAAGAAGGGAGTCTGAACCCCTGCTTAACATGCAAACCAACTTCACTTTACCACTGGAGTCTCCACTACAGTCCCCTGCTTACAACAGAAGGTGACACTGTTTGCCTTTCTGAATATTAAGATCTTCCAGGCTTCATTTTGTTCAGTTTTAAATATTATAGTTACAAATTATATTTCAATAGAAGGCAAATTCTAGCAAAAAGAGATGATTAAAAAAAGGTAATTTGGACTCGATTGGAAACACCGGTGTTTTAGGAATGTTGGCATTTTATCCTTTGATGGGAAGAAGCAGTAGGCTGTCACTCCATCCATCAGCCGCTTGTAGATGAGAGCGGTAATAAGATAATACGTTATCTTACGGGTTCTTTCAGGTCACACTCTGGGACACATGCTCCCTTGTATGAGGTCAGTCCTGTTTTCATGTTATCACAACTGGAGCAGCTTTAAAAGCTTTCTCCTTATTCAGAGAAATCAACACGTTAGATTGGAGTTAACAGATGCAACAGGAATTTTATGAACCTCTAATGGCTTATTTCTCTGCTTGCCATTTGCGAATCACCTGTTCGTATAGGGAACGTGATAGCTGATTTTCAGTAGGATTAAAACTAGTAAGATATTTAAGCCTCGCAGGGCTAACAGAGCAACACCTAGGTATGTTTATAAATCTGATCCTAAGGGAATTCAGTATTTCATCTTCTCTGTAAATAAGCTCTTCTTCATAAAACAAAAAGTGTTCTAAAAATGCTTGTAGAGGGACGTACTGAAGTACATGGTGAAATCTTGGCTTGTCTGTATTAGCAGTGGATCTCCAAGTTACTTAGGCGAAGTCCTGATTTTATCCATGAAGGGTAGGTACATAACAAAGCTCTTGTCATGGGAGTGCATGAGTCACTGACTATCATCTTATTAATGTATTAAATATGCATTATTATTATTATTCTCTAAATTAATTGCTATTTTTTAAAACAAAGTCTCTGTGGTTTGACTTGGAATTGTTTCTAGTCTCTCCACATGAAATCAACTGTAGGAGTCAAATTAACTGTGAAAATGAGATAAATTCTGGGCAAAAAAAAATCTTCCTGAGGATTGCTCTGCAGACTGAAGTGGTGTTACTGAAGGGAGAATTTAGCCGTTGGTACTTTCATTTTAATACAGTGGTTGTGAATGTACGATGAATATGAAATATCAGTTTTGTCATGAAATTATGGAACTGTTGGAGCGGGTCCAGAGAAGGCCACAAAAATGATCCGAGGACTGGAGCCCCTCTCCTATGAGGCCAGGCTGGGAGGGTTGGGGTTGTTCAGCCTGGAGAAGAGAAGGCTGCAGGGGGACCTGATTGTGGCCTTTCAGTGCTTAAAGGGGGCCTATAGGAAAGATGGGGACAGACTTCTTAGCAGGGCCGGTTGTGACAGGACAAGGGGTAATAGTTTTAAACTAAAACAGGGTAGATTTAGACTGGAAGAAATTCTTTACAATGAGGGTGGTGAGACACTGGAAGGGGTTGCCTAGAGAGGTGGTGGAGGCCCCATCCCTGGAAACATTCAAGGCCAGGTTGGACGGGGCTCTGAGCACCCTGATCTGGTTAAAGATGTCCCCACTCACTGCAGGGGGGTTGGGCTGGGTGACCTCTAGGGGTCCCTTCCAACCCAAAACATTCTATGATACTATGATTCTATGATATCCAATTTATGCTGCCATACAACGGTAGGTGTGTAGTTCCGGACACAAAGTACTGAACTGCCTGCTCTCGGAGTGCAGGAGGAGTTTCAGCACAGTGGAGCAGAGGTAGGCAGCTCCTTTCCTTAAGTCCTCTGTACTCAAGGGTTTAACTTGGATCATAAGCTTTGAGTGAATATGATTTTTTTGTTGAGTAATCTCTTTAGATTTTCTTCTTCTCTTTATGAAGTGTAGAATGTAAAAACATGTTTTTAAATAT